AGGAGCCCACAGCCCAGGAGAGGCTGGGGAGATTTATACTTGAAAAGCACAAAGGGGAGGACTGGGGAGGAGTCAGGAAAAAGAATGGCCAGTCTTCCCAGGAACCAGTGAGGCGCAGAAGCAGGACGTTTTGTTGGAACAGCTGACTGCAAGGAGGGTTTAGGCCAGTTTGGGGTGCAGAGCTCAACCAGGTCAGCTAGGGAACACCAGCAAAGGCACCTGGGAGTGAGGAAGATTGGGCTCACTGCAGCTCCTTTCAGCAAACAGACTTACTCTGTTCTGTGTCCAGTGCACCTGCCTGGTAAGGTAACGCACAGAAAACAGACATACCAATCTTGGGGGTACCCTCAGAATAGTAAGATGATAATTTCTCTCAGGCTTCAACTTGAAATTTCTTCCATCCTGCAGGCTCCCTTCCTTAAAAAGGTGTCCATGATGAACCAACTCTTGGTTTCCAGGAGGATTCCAGAGGGGGTGTGGGTGAAGGTAAGGGCAGAGTTCTTTTGGGCCCTGTGTTGTGCCCCATGGAAAGACCAGGGGAAGAGAATTCAGTGGTCCAGAGATGTGGAGGCCATCTTGCCCTCTTCTTCAGAAGCACCAGGGGGGGTGGGGAGATAAGAGTAACTCCATTCAAAGAGCGCTGATGAATACCTTTCTAAGTGCCAAGCACTGGCTTAGGGTGCTGAGCACCCAAAGGTTCCTGCACGCCTCTGCCTGCCAGGAACCTGGGGAGATCCAACAGGGACAGAGATCGTTTCAGAGCATGGACCTGGAGGAATAAGTACAGGATGGAGGAGGGATTTCCATGATGTGAGGAGAGCAGTCTGGAAAGGGGCTGAGATTCCAAGCAGCTGGAGTGCAGAGGGAATGTCTTAGAGGCCTGGAGGACAGCCTGTGGAAAGGGCCCAGGGGGGGAAGATTTTCCAGAGGGCTTCCCTGGGAGTCCCCAGTCCCCCAGTGACTTCTTCCTTCTGCAACCCACAATTCAGGCATCTTGACTTTGCCCTGGAAGCTGACTTACCTCTTCTTTTGTGTCCACATCTTGCAGCTGGGTCAGGGTATGGCCCTCGTGAAGGATGGAGTAGCTGCACACCTGGCAGATTTTCTCATTGTCTTCTCTACAGAAAAAGCTCAAGTTTTCCTGGTGCTTGGCACACCACCCCTCTCGGATGGACTGGGGCTCCTCAAGGCATGGCATCAGCTGCTTGGCCAGCTGTACCATGTTCTGCATCTTCCAGTTGGTACGTAGGTATGGCGGCTGGGATTTTTGAGGAAGACAATCCCGGCAGAAGGTGTCACCAGAATGCTCTGTTACAGGATCATTGAAGAAGCCTCCACAGACTGGGCAGGTCAGAAGGTCCCGCATGCCCTTGGACAGTCTCCATGCAGTCTGTGCTCCTACTGGAAAAGAAGCCACAATAAGAATGAGAATCAGCTCCACTTCCCTCAATTCAAAGCCCAGGGATAGGGCAGAGTGCATGAGCCCCGCTGCCCACAGCCAGAGAGTGGGGCTCAAGGAAGACCACACACATGCAGCACACCTAGGAACCTCTCAGTAGGAAGAAGGGGATTCCAACAGGGAGGTGAAGTGCTGAGATTAAAGAAAAGGGAAGATCAGCTAGGCCAAGCCCTTCAGGATTCAGAAGGAGAAGATCGAGATGGACCCCATGGAGGTGACTTCCCTAAAGGCCTCCCTACACCTCAGATAGCACGAGCTCCTGATGGCCAGTTTTTCATACAGCCAGCGCCCCAGTGCAGTCCTGGTGTTGAGGGCCAGCCCTGGGATGGAAGTGCCCAGGTTCGAGGGACAAACATTTGGTGGGTATGTTTAGGCAGAAGAACTGCCTGTGTCTGAAGGGTGGCAGAAGGGTGGTGGTTCTTGACCTCTGTCAGGCTCAAGACAGTCTTTCTTTCCAGGTCCACAAGTCCATTCCACAAACACAGATGAAACACTGAACTCCAGAGTTCAGCTAAGATGGGACCAAGACACTCGGGTCTTAGAGTGAGTCTAAGGCTGGGAACCAGAGAAGGGCCTAAAGCACAGGAAATTCTCCCTGCAGGTACTCACCTTCACTGACAGGGTCCCTCCTCTTCTTCATTTCCTTCAAAGGCTGGGTTTCTCAGCTTCTCTGCTGTGCTGCCTCTGCCAGGTTCTAGCTCCAGGAAGGTCTGCCTCTCAGGCTCTGGCTCCCCTGAAATTTCTATCAGCCCCTGACCACAGAGATTCAGACCTGCGGGAAGTATGAACTCTGGAAAATCACACCTTCCCAGAATCTCAGAGTTGGATTCCCTATGGACCTTAGCTGAAACCCAAACCCCAGAACAAATACCACTCCAACCTCCTTCAGAGGGAGCTATCCAGCCTTTCCTTCAGGTCTTCCTGTGAACTAGACTCACTATCTCCTGGGGCAATCTTTTCTGCTTTGGAAACATCTCTTTTTAGAAAATCTTCTCCACCTGGAGTTTAAGTATCTTTTTATCACCTCCAATCTGGCTCCTAATTCTCCCAATCAAAGAGAACAGTCCTATCTCTCTTTCTCCTGATGGACAACAAGAACAAGCAGGAGACTAGGGCAGTTATCTTCAGGGGAAATAGAGGACTTTCAAACCTTCCTGATGAAAAGACCAGAGCTCAACAGAGAATCTGACCTTCAAATGCAAGACTCAAGAGAAGCATGAAAAGGTAAAGAGCAAAGAAAAAAAACCCTATTATTAATAAGGGCAAACTGTTTCCATACCTACAAGGGAAGATGACACTTACGTAACTCTGAAGAACTGTAAGGTCACTAGGACATTTAAAAGGAGGTGTACTTAGACAGAGGGTGGGGTTTACGTTGACTTTGATGTGGTGGTAAAAAGAAATCCAAGTGGTATGAAAAGGGATTGTACTGGGAGAAGAAGAAAAGGCACAAAAACCAAACACAGTGGAGAGAAAGAAGGGAGGGAGGTGAGCACTGTTTGAACCTTACTCTCGTCACATTTGGTTTAAAGGGGGAATAACATAATCAGTTAGGTACAGATATCTGACTTACCCTACAGGAAGTGGAAAGGGTAAAGAGAAAAGAAAAGGGAGGAAATAAGGTTTGGTTCCCTAGAGTCACCCTGCTAGTTAAGTGTCTGAGGCCCGATTCCAATCAAAAATTGGCCAAAATGATCAAAACTGGCCAAGAGTAGGAGGCAATGAATGAGAAGACGGGCACACTGATACATCGTTGGTGGAGCTGTGAAACGCACAACCGTTCTGAAAAGCAATCTGGGATCAGACAAGAAAGCGCTAAAGCCTCCGTGCCCTTTGAACCAGAGACCCCAGTGGGGGCTCCCACCCCAAGGAAGCCACTGATGAGAAGAGTCTACACCTCTGGACATGCACAGCAGCCCTCTCGGTGACAGGGCCTCCGCAGGCAGCTGGGAGGGCCCGCCCCTCCCCCAGCCGCTGAAGGGGTCACCACCCACGTGGGGCCCGCGCTCCTAACTCAATTAGGAGTCGCTTAGCGCCTACCACGGGCCAGGCGGACTGAGCAGCGGGCACACGAGAAGGGCCCTGCCCTCAGGCGGCTCACCCTCTAACCTGACCCCTCTCCAAAGGCCCAGGGCGTCTGGCCCCGGACCCGCACCCTAACGCGTCCGGACTCCACGCGGGGCTGGGGCTGCCCCTCCCCCAGCTCCCCAGCAGCCCCGGGAGGGAGCTCTGCGCATGCTCAGTCACGCTAGCCGCCAGCCACCCGCCTCAGGCGGCCCCGCCCCTTCGGGCCAAAGCCGCTGCGCCGGCGCAGTCTCCCCGCAGGGCCCCGAGCCCCCGTCCTGGCTCTTCATCCCGGCGGCCTCACCTGCCTCTCTCCACCGCCCGAGGACCCGCTCCTCTCCAGCGTCGGCCCGACGCTCACCCGCGCGCGCCCTCGAGCCAGATCTCTGAATGGCGCCGGGAAGCCGCACAGGCGCAGTCCAGAACCGGGTGGGCCGGATCGCTCGGCCAATCAGCGTCGGCAGCGGCCCGCAGGGGCTCACCAATCAGGACTCAGCAGCCGGCCCAGCCCGCCAATCAGAGCGCCAGCCCGCCTGCCGGGCTTTCTCTGCGGAGTCTCCGGGCTCCTCTTCTCTCTGCCCCAGGCACGTGCTCTCCTGACGTCAGGCCCTGTCGGTGACGTCGGGCCCTGCCAGTGACGTCACGCCCTGCCGGTGACGTCAGGCCCTGCCAGTGACGTCAGGCTCGGCGGGAGTGCCCCGGCTCTGCCCCCGGCGCCTGTGCCCCTCCCTGTCCCGGGAAAGGGGCTCCCTGCCTGCCTCGGTGTCCCCAGGAGCCCCGGCGGGGAACGTCCCCAGTGACTGGGCGTCATCAGCGGAGCCCCCAGGGACGTGGCCGAATGGTTAGCGCCCGTGGACAGCTCGCCCGTAGAAGTGCCCGTGGAAATGCCCGTGGAAATGCCCGTGGAAGTGCCCGAGGAGCGGGCAGAGGAAGGCCACGCATTTCCAGTTAGATGGCCTGCAGGCCAAACTCAAACTCAGCATGTCTAAGACTTCATTCCTATTTCCCCGAAACTGACTTTTATACAAAATCTCCCTACATCTGTCAAGGGCAGCCCCGTCCTTCCAATCACTCCCTTTCCCCTCTCATGTCCAGTAAGTTCTCAGATCTTCCTGTTTTTTCCTCCATCCCTTTCTCTGCCCTCGAAGGCCTCGTGCCCTTCCACAAGCCTCGTGGAAGCTCTGGTTAGCATTATGCTGGATTATCGTGAAAACATCTCACTTGTTCTCCTTCGCTCATCTCTCTATGCTCCACTCCCTTGTCCACATGGCTGCAAATACAAAATATTAAGTATCATTACATATTTATTTTGACACAAAATATTAAGTATTCTTCTTAAAGTACACTTTTAACCACCTCACTCCCCTCAACAAATTCCACTGGCTTCCCATCACATCTAGGAGCAAATGTAACCTCTCTTCTTTTGTCATTTGAAGTCCTTCACTCCCTAATCTAGGGATGGGGGACCTAGGGCCTCGAGGCCACCACTTGGGGCCTTGTAGATCCTCAGGTGCTGCCTTGGGACTGAATCCACCTTGGATTCTAATCCTAGGCCTAATCCTCACCTTCCTGTCTAGCCTCACTGCACATAGATCCTCATTGACCATTCAGGACCAGCCTCATTAGCCTCCTTAATTTCCTCCTTCATTATGCTCTATCTCCCCTCTCTATGCCCTTGGATTGCATGTCCTGCCATCTGTGGAAGGCCCTCCCTCTCTTACAATCCCTAATTTCCTTTGGTAAAGACATGATGAGATCTAATTCTTTTTTTGTTGTTGTTTTGGTTTGTTGTTTTTTTTTAGGCCATTGGGGTTAAGTGACTTGCCCAGGGTCACACAACTAGTGTCAAGTGTTTGGTCTGAGGCCAGGAGATCTAATTCTTAATTGAGCAGTAAGCTTTTCCTTAAGGAGACAGAAGGTGGCCTCAGGAATTAAAAAAAGTTGTTATTTTAAGATTAAAAGGCTGTTGGTTGTTGTCCTTTGTTCTCAGAGGACCAAAGTGACATCACTTTATTGGGGTCACGTTCCCGGCGGCTGGGGCTGATCAGACCAGGACACAGGTCAGGCACAAATAGTCCAGGTGAACATTGGGGGTGGATTCCCTACGTTTGTGCATTTTGAGCTACTGCAGTTCTCCTTTGCTCATGGAGCACAGCACCTTCTCTGACGAGGGCACGCCGTGCTGAGCACTCCTGTGCCAGTGTCTGCCATGTCACACAATCATTCCAAAGCTCTTGAGAGATACCTCGAGAGTGTCCTTGTATCGCTTCTTCTGACCACCAGGTGAACACTTGCCCTGTGTGAGTTCTCCATAAAATGGTGTCTTTGACAGACATAAGTTTGGCATTCAAACAATGTGGCCAGCCCCTTGGAGCTGTGCTCTCTGCAGTAGTGTTTGAATGCTTGGCAGGTCAGCTCAAGAAGGGACCTCAGTGTCACGCGCCTTATCCTGCCATATACGGGCCGCACGCCGGCCCTCTGCCAGTCGTGCACCAGTACCCACTTCCCTTAAAAGAAGTGCACTGCCAGAGTCTTACCCATGCCTAGGTCCTCGGTTCTCAGCCGGATCACCACACAGAGACAAGCCATGGGAAAGCACCAACACCAGAGTTTTATTCAGAGGCCAACACAGCAAACCATCATAGCAAGCCCAAGCAGCAAGGCCAGAGCAACAGAGTAGGAGCCAGGGGAGAGCGCACGTGTGTTCTGACCACGCTTGTTCCTAAGTACCTACTAAGCCCCTCCTCCCCAGCCCGCTACTAGCCAATGATTGTAGGGTCAGATACCGGAAGGGGCTGTCTGAGTTTAGCACACCAAGGGGGAGGGAGTGATGTAGGAGGCTAGGATTGGATACAGGAAGGAGGCATCTGGGATTGACGCATAGACAAGAGTACGTGACCTAGGAAGTCAGACTCAGGAGGGGACTGGGTCAGTGCTGCACAAGGTCAGGAAGGTCACAAGAGGCATCTGGGGATGACGTTGCATATAGGGAGGGGACTAAGCAGAGGGAACTCAGTCCTCTGCCATCCCACTCCCACGTGGCACCGCCCCTTGCCTCAGGAGTTCAGGCTCGGCTACTTCCTTGCACCCAGCTTATCTCATAGCATTGCCCAATTGCCTCATGGCTTCTCCGAATCCAGCCCATCCCAGTACACACGACTCTGTCTACCACAGTCCCTGCCTCGACTTCCAAAATACCCAGATCTTACCTTACCCATGCCACAGCACCCGACTGGCAGCTGCCAACATCAGACAGTCCCTCACACTGCCAGGTGATCATCAGAACCTTCCTGGGACGATTGAAATGGAAGCGATTCGTTTCCTGGCATGGCATCGTCCAGGTCAGCACAACAGCTCTGTAGACCTGCAGACCGGCAGTCAGTCTCATACCTCTTCTCTCCCACACTTTCCTTCGGAGACTCCCCAACACTGAGCGGTTCTGGCAATGTGTACATCTCTGGGAAGGATACTACCAAGCTAAGTGAACTTCTCCACACAGGCTGAGTCATTACTTTGCCAGACCTGACAGCAGCTATTTATGGATGGCCCCCCCCTGCCTTTCCCGTTTTTTTTTTTCCCCCTTCTTCCCCCCCCCCCCCCCCCCCCCAGGTGCTCTGTGATCCAGTGACAATACCTTTTTTGCTGCTTCTCCTTAAGTCATTCTGTCCTGGTGCACATCCTCAGCACCTCAGGCCTGGGCTACTGTAATAGCCTGCTAATACAGGCCATCTGCCCTAGGCGCTTTTATTAACCCTAGTTCCCATTCTTAACTGCCTAGCCTCTGGCTTCCAGTCTCATCATTCCACCCAAACTGCTCTCCCCCAATTGCCAGTGATCTCTTAATGACCACATCCAGGGGCCTTTTCTCAGTCCTCACCCTCTCCTTCACCCTGGTGCAAGCCCTCATCACCATATATCTGAACTATTGCAATGGTCTGCTGCTGTATCTGCCTGCCTCAGCTCTCTCCCCAGTTCACTCCATTCTCCATTCAGCCACCAAAGCCATTTCATAAAGTGCCGGTCCCATCATGTCAACTGCCTACTGAAACCAGCCAAGCAACCAATCCAGAAGTTCTCTATCAACCTCAGGATCCAGTACAAAATGCTCTGCCAGCAAA